AATTAGGATATACCATTGAAAAAATAACTATTCCCAAAAAAATCCGAGAGCATCTCCAAATTACTTATCTTGTTCTTTGTTCGAGTGAATTAGTCAGTCATCTTAATTCTCTCCAAGGAGTAACTTATGGAATTAAGGATAATATTAATATTATTCAAAAAAGAAGTAAATATTTAGGAGAGATAATAAAACAACGCTTATTAATCGGTTCCTACTTTTTAGAAAATCAGGAATTATTTATCAAGGCTCAAAAAATGCGTTATTTAGTGGATAAATGAGTAAAAAAAGTTTTTCAAAATTATGATTTTTTGGTTTTCCCCAGCACTAATAATGCTGCTCCGCCAGCCGCTAATTTTAACCATTCATTTTCCGGCTTAATTTCTTCCCATTGGAGTGATAATTTATTACTTTTAGCAAACTTTTCCGGTCTTCCTTCGTTGAGTTTACCGATTGGTTTTATAAATGATTTACCAGTAAGTATTAATATAAATAGTAATTATGGAAAGGATGAAGAAGTTTTAGAATTAGCCGAAAGTTTAGAAAAATTAAAAAAATAATCTTACTGTAAAATATATTTGTATATGTCTGGAACTTTAATTCTTATTATTTTAATTATAGCCCTAGTGGTGGTGGTTATTACCTCTCTTTTTTCTTATTATCTTTCGAAGTGATTAGCCAAATGAGTAAAAAATGTCAAAAGAATTGATGAGCGAAAAAACTTGAGTCCCAAATTAAAAGAAATAGTGCGAGTTGTGCGAGAAGTTTCTCGAACTTATAAAATAAAAATGCCCGAGGTGGGAGTTTATCCTTCTCAAGAAATTAATGCTTTCGCTACTGGTCCCGCTGGCAATACTTTAATTGCTTTTTCCACTAATTTAGTTAACACCATGAACCTCCAAGAAGTTAGAGGGGTGGTCGGTCATGAGTTATCTCACCTTATTCATCATGATATTGCCCGGATTTTATTAGTGCAGGGAGCATTTGATGTTTTTTATTATCTATTTTGTGCTTTATTATTTTTTGCTCTCTTCTGAGAAGGTGATGAGGAAAGAAGAAGAGATGAAGGCGTGGGGTCTTTTGTGAGGTTGATTTTCAAATGGATACTTTTTGAAATAATTTCTGCTATTATAAGGATAATTGGGATTTTGATTGTTCTGTGATATACTCGCAAGCGGGAATTAGCGGCCGATAAAAGAGGTGCAGAGATAGTGGGGCTGGATGATATGTTAGCAGCTTTGCGAAAACTTTTGGAATTAGAGAATAAGGCTTGAATAGTAGATGGAGTAGACTTAACTGAGGATGATAATACCAAAGCAACCGGGGAACCTAATTCGATTTCTTTATTAAAGTTTAACCCCGAAAAGAAAAAAAAAGGTTTGCTTGATTTATTCCGCACTCATCCCACTTTAGAAGAAAGAATTGAACGACTAGAAAAATTAAAAAAACGCCGAGCATTACCTGGTATTATTTAAGTAAGCGTATCGAGGGCTAAAAGAAACATCAAAATTAAAAATTTGCATTAAATGGTTAAAATTATATAATAACAAAGTGAAAATCTATGCCAGTTAAGCAAAAAAAAAAAACAAACAGTAATTTTAATAACTAGTTTACTAATCATTGCTTCTTTATTAGCCGGTGGAGGATTTCTAATTATTAAAAATAATTCAAAAACTAAAAATGTTGCTAATAATCAGCCAACCAGGAAAGAAAAGGAACCAATTCTGCCAAAAGATAATCCCCCACCCAAGCCTAATATTCCGCCTACTCCTAATCTACCGCAGCCAAACCCAATTCCGGAGCCTAATAATCCCCCACAACCGAATAATAATGAATACCCAGCAATTGCCGCTACCGGGCGAGAACCAGAATATAAAATTAACCCATCATTACCAATTTCTTCGGTCGGGACTGGGAACGATAGACCAGATTTAGTTCCTAATCTTAATGGCACGCCGGGTCATCTTACCGCTGGCTCAGCCTTACTTACTGATACTTTGGATGGTTCGGGTAATGGTTCTTCAATTCTGAATGATAAGGGAATTACCCACCTTATCCACGCTGTTAATCAACCATTTAGTTCTTTTGCCAATAACGAGCAATGGTTTATTAATTATGTAGTGCGTTCGGTGCAAAATTCAATTATTTTAGCGGACCGATACAAATTTGAAAAACTGGCTATCCCTTTGGTCGGTGGCGGGATTTTTCTTGGTAGTTGTGACCCGCAAAAATTAGCCGAAGGGATAGTCAAAGGAGCCATTAATCAATTAGCCGAATGCAAAACTTACAACAAATTATTTTGCTTGACTGACATAATAGCCAAACCCCCAGAAAAAATCGCCAAGTTTTTTTAACTGCGTGTGGCAAACTTGAAGATGAAGGAAACTGATTTGGTAAAAATCGCAGTGGAGGTCTTGAACTAGCCAAAAATCCGACCAAAATTATATTTGACGAATGGGGGGATATTCGTGATAAAAGAATTCACGAAGCCAGTGTAATTGTCAACGTAGCCAATACCCAAGTCAAATTTGGTGGCGGGATTTCCGGAGCCATTGCCAAACAAGTGGGGGATAAAACTAAAATCGAAGCCAAAGCCCAGGAATTAATTGGTAAGTTTAATTCTCAATAGGACAAAAATAAAAAAAATATAAAGCAAAGGGGTCAACTAGTTAAAAAAAATAATCATATGACAAAACAATATTTTTATGGAGAAGTTGATTATAATTCTTTGGTGAAAGCTCGCAATACTTTGTGTCGAATTCTCCAAACTTCCCGAAACGAAGCCGAAAAAATGGGAGCGGTGAAAGCATTTGAAATCTGCTATGAGTTATCTTGAAAAATAATGAAAAAAATTCTGGAATTTCGGGGAGTGGAGGTGGGTGCGGCTCGTGATGTTTTCCGTGAGGCTGCTCGGTTGAAGTTGCTGGGCGACGCAGAAGTATGGTTTGCTTATATCAAAAAAAAGAAATATCACGGTTCATGCCTACCAACCGGAAATTTTAGATGATTTATTTGCCAACACTGCCAAAGAATTTTTACAAGATTTAGATTATTTGCTAAATCAAATAGAAAAAGAGGCACCGCAATATGCTACAAATAGAAACTAGACACCTAGAAATTATTCGTTCAATCCTATCCAAATATCCATATCAGTTCTACGCTTATGGCTCACGAGTTAAAAACCGAGCCAAAAAATACTCTGATTTAGATATTTGTTTTTATGGAGAAATACCCTGGAATGTACTTAGCCACCTTCAAGAAGATTTAGAAGAATCTGATTTACCCTTTAAGGTAGAAGTAATGGCTTGGGAGTGAATGAGTCCAGAGTTTCAAAAATTAATTAAGTCAGATTTAATACCATTAGAATAAAAATAAAAAGGAAGTGTGCCCGAGCGGTTGAAGGGGCTGGCTTGGAAAGCTAGTAATATCTAATCCATATTCGGAGGTTCGAATCCTCTCACTTCCGCCATAATGACAATAGAATAATCGCAAATTATTTATTTGAGTTTTTAACAACTTCGTTTCTGCTAAAAAACATTATGAACGATAAAATTATTTCTTTTCGCCTCCTTCCTCCCATAACTTTATCTGAGAACTATATAGAGGGAGGGGAAAAATACCTCCTTTTTTATTTACTTACCGAAACTGATAATGCACAACGCAAAGGAGAAAAAACGGAAGAGCATGTTTTTTTACTTGGTCGCAGTTTCCCCTATCTAATTATCCCAGACGATAATTCCCCGATAGTTAGCCAAATCAAGAATAGAAAGGAGAAGGAATACTTTACAATTTCTCTTACTAACCTCCAATTTAAGCCGAATTTTCTTGACGGAAACGAAGGAAAAGGACCCCAACCTTTTTATTGTGATGGCTTATTAGTTAAAGATACTAACCAAATAAAAAAAGCAGTCGCAAATACCCCCTCTTTCCCAGAAATCACTTTCAAGGTAGTTGGTCAACGGAAAACGGGACATGTAATCGGAACCACTTATGAGGAAAGTTTTTCCAAATATGGCAGTTATAGCCATATTCTAGAAATTGAACCGCTGGACTTGGGAATAGAAGGATTACCGCCCATTGTTCGGATATTTTTTGATTTTGCTAACTCGCTGCAACCAATTTTTTTTCGTCCCTTAACAGAAAGCCGGTTTTACAACAGTAATATTTTGACCGACAGCGTAGGAAAAACTTTCGTAATGAAAGTTAAAAGTTGGGGTTTTGGCGAGAAAAGAAATAATTTTGGTAATGACACTTTGAATTTTGGGGGCGATAATAGTTTTGATTGAGACAGTTTTCAAGAAAAAACGGTTGAGGATAATAAACAACCAAATCTCGACCAGCCCCAAAATCCCAAACCTAAACCAGAAATAAATAATAATAAACCTGCTAACCAAACACCAGAAGGTTCAAACACTCTTAAAACGATTTTGATAATTAGCGGAATTATTGGCAGTTTAATTTTGGTTGGCTTTCTGTTTTATTTTTGCAAGAAAAAAAGTTCGCCCAAAAAATAAGTATGTTTTATTCTCCCGAGCAAAAAAGAAAAATTATACTTGACAATTACAGTTGTCCCAGTAAGCAGGTAGAGTTAGCAGAATTAAAAAAAAAAAGTGAGGAGTGGCAAGTCCCTTTTTCTACTTTTCGCAGTCTAGACGCCGGCTGCGGCGATATCATTCACCTGCTAATAAAAAAAAAAGATAATTGTTTAGAAAAATGTTTATTTTCCGGGCAACAATCTTGCCTTATTAC